ATCTCTAATCATTAGAGAAATGCAAATCAAAACGATAATGTGATATGACCACACACTTGTTAGGATGGCTATTGTATTAAAAAAAAAAAAAGATAAATGTCAGCAAGGATGTGGAGAAATTGGATCTCTTTTACACTGGTAGTAAGAATGTAGAATGATGAAGCCACTACGGAAAACAGCATGGAGATTCCTCAAAAACTTGAAATATTTGGGGCCAACCCGGTGGTGTAGTGGTTAAGTCCACATGCTCTGCTTTGGTGGCTTGGGGTTCACAGGTTCAGATCCTTGGCATGGACCTACACACTGTTTATCAAGCCATGCTGTGGCAATGTCCCATATACGAAGTAGAGGAAGGTTGGCACAGATGTTTGCTCAGGGCCAATCTTCCTCATACACACACACACAAAATTAAAATAGAACTGCCATATGATCCAGCAATCCTGCTTCTGGGTATTTATCCAAAAGAATTGAAATCAGGATCTTGAAGAGATACCATGTTCATTGCAGCGCTATTCACAATAGCCAAGACTTGGGAATCACGTAAATGTCCATCACAGATGAATGGATAAAGAAAATGTGGTATATACATACAATGGCATAGTATTCAGCCTTAAAAAAGAAGGAAACTCTGCCGTCTGCAACAATGTGGATGAACCTAGAGGACATCATGCTAAGTGATATCAGCCAGTCACAGAAGGACAAATACTGCATGGTCCCACTTCTATGAGATATCTAAAATAGTCAAATCATAGAAGCAAATAATAGAGTGGTGGGTGCCAGGGGCTGGGGGAGGGGGAAATGGGGAATTGTTCAACAGGCATAAAATTTTAGTTATGCAAGATGATTAAGTTCTAGAAATCTGCTGTACAACATGGTGCCATAGTTAACAATACTGTATTATACACTTAAACATTTGTTAAGAGGGTAGACCTTGTGCTGCTTTCTCACCACAATTTAGAAAGAGAGAGAAAGACGCAGCAGAGGCTCTTTATGAGAGAGTGACAGAAGCCAATTTATTTCTGTAAGAAAATCTTTCTTGTAGCTGTGTGAAGGATGATCTGGATCCGGAGAGAAACCAGAGGCAGGAAGTCCAGAGGGAGAGCTGTAAAACGGTTCCAAGGAACAAGGTAGAGAGGAGAGGCAATAATTGTAAAAAACTGGCAAATTAAAAATTGCCTCTGTTACATTACTCCCTAACTCTATGATCTGGGATAAGCCTCTTTGCCTCCATTTCTTCACTTGTAAATTGAGGGTGATGAGCCTTCTTCAAAACACCACTGTGAGAAGTAAGGTATGAGAAAGTATTTTATAAGGTGCTAAACCCTACAAAATGACAAGGTTTTAGTTGCTGCATTGTAATTAGTAGTGGGTATATCAGTATCATCACATTGCACCATCCTGACATGGCGTATATTTTGAAAACATATACTATAGGCAGACAAGGAAAACAGATGAGAATCTCTGCACGTAGTAAGAAAGTTTCTAAGAAACAAATATGGTATAGCAGTCATGTGGATGCATTTTATAATGCAAGGCTTCGGTTCTTGTCTAAAATCAGGTATGAAGATTAATATTTTTCATTTGAAAATATGCAGTAAAAAAGAATCACTGGCTTCTATCATCTACTTTTGTGATACTGGAAAATCACCAAATAAAATGTTTATTTTCAAAAATGTACATTTTATCTGGCTAAGACCAGTGTTAGTGCAGCTTGAATGTGTGGGATGTTTCCACTTTTCCCAAGACTATCTCTTGAGTTGAAATTTCTTCTGAACAATCCTTAGAATGAAAGAGAAGAAACATATCATTTTTTCTCAATCTTGAATAATATTTGGATCCAATTAAAAAAATGCTTAGACTAAAATAATTTAGATATAATGTCAAACACAAATAAAACTAAGAATAAATACTTTATATTTATAGCGTATAGTCAACCATAAACCAAACAAATTTCAAGTTAAGAACAGCCAAACAAAACATTTTAAATATTCAAATTAATGATTAATAATGACAGGTGGCATTGGGTTTAATAGATGATGCAGCCTCAGATCTAGTTCTGGGTTTGATCTGTCTCTGATTTTTACATAAATCCTACAAACGTAAGAATTGCCTCTTCACATGTGTGTATTATATGAAGCAGAACAGTTTCACAAATTTTCTAGCTCAGAATAATGACAACTTACCCAACAAGCAATCTTCAAGTGCCAACCTAACACATAAAAATGAGTAAAGCTGTCGTGTTTATTTAAAGTTCAGGTTAACATTATTGCTTTGGTGAAATCGACATTAAATATTTTTCTATTTTATTGATTGCTAAAATTAAAAGCAGCAAATTTCTTCGTTGCATGTTTAGTGCCCACTTATCATTGCTGAATTATTGCAGGTTGGTATTAGAAACATTTGCATAAAGCAGCCATTTGCAGTGAGAATGTGGGACAGAGGTACCGACTGACTCAAGACTGTCTATTTCAAGTGTTTTGAAAACTTCGCTGTGCAGTGACGTAGCTTCCACTTTGCGCAAACACATTATCACACCCCAGTGTAGACTTAGGCAGATGTGACTGGGTGCTCCCTTAGAAGATGGACATCGAGATGGGCAGAATTTGTGGGAAGCAGTTTGCTGACCTCAATCTGAGATATTGTGGTCTAAGGTAAATCCCAATCTGTGCTTATTTATGAGAAAAATATATATACTTCCAAACCATAGTTCCCTTTTACTCTAAGATTAAAGTCATGACTAAGACAACAGGAAAACAGAGTGATGGAGATTTATTTCTTTAGGAAAAGAGAACACAGTTAATTAACCTAGACTTAACTAGAGTAAGAGATAATAGCTGGTGAGCAGACAATATGTAATTTAGATAACAGAGAGAAAACTGACGTGCTGGTCTGTTGCTAGGACGACAAGCTTTGGGGAGTCGAGGCAGAGAGGGAGCTGTAACGAGGTTAACGGAGAGGTTGAAAAAGTAGACACACACATATATTTTGTTCACTCTCTTTGTTTGGAGCCAAACAGGTTGTTGGGGAAAAACACTACAGAAAAAGAAAAACAAAAAACAAATTCACCAGAAAATAAGTCAACCCCTGGGAATTATCTCACAATTTACACGGAATAATGCAGACATATAGAGAACGTTCCCTTTAGAATACATCCCAATGAAAACTTAATATGCAAAGTCTTTGGGAAAACTATATGTTTATGCTTCAGCAAACGTGACGGCAGCCATGCCACCAGTAATCACTGATGTTTACCAACTCAGTCCTAATGACCTTTGAGAAATAGCTCATTAACGATCAGCACTCTTTTTGAAACCACCTCTGATCCAAATGATTTTACTGACTGGGAAAATGGTAAGGAGCAGAGAACAAAGTGGGGCCCCTCGTATCACATGGTTGTTTTCTAAATCACTTATTGTAAATACAAGATTATTACTTTGCAGTTGTACATTTTTCCCAGTGATTAAGTCACTCGGTCAGGGGCTGAGGTATATGACATTTATTCTTCTGTAAATTTGCTGTTTTTGAGATCTCATGTCTTGGATTTTTAAAAATCAATGTGAAAAATGGCAACTCTCACGTCTGAGGTGATTATTTTCCCTGTACATCTTTTCATTTACTTGTGATTTTTTGGTAGCAGTATCTTTTTCTTTTTGTGTGAGCCATTCCAAACCAGGTATCTGAAAAATAATTATGGCAACTTTCTTACTCTAAAGTTTTTTTTTTTAACTTTAACTCTTTAATTCATCTGAATTTTAAGCTGTGTGAGGTGCAGATCCACATCCTGCTTTAACATCTCTCTCTTCCACGTAGGAGCTTTTTGACCTCCAATCCTCCATTTTTCCGCAGGGGCTCACGGCTGCTTCCAGCTTATTTCAGCCAATGAGATATCAACTCTGAACTTTAGCTTTCAACAGGGGATGCTGGAAAACCAAACTCCTTTCAGATCCAAAGGACTGGGTATATTCAAACAAGAATTTATTTAAATTATAAACAGTGATTAAATGTCTCTATATCTTTGGACTGGAGCTCCTACCTAGAATTCCTAGTTCTCAGGTAACTTGTAAAGAAATTATTTATTTTTTTTATTATATGACTCTTTCTAAAACATATTTTTAAAACTCCAACTTGTAACATGTTAACATCTGGAGCCTGCTCACAGCCTTAACTCTGATTTAGACAATGTCAAACATCAGGCATTTTAAATGTTAAAAGCATTAGAAGTGACCCACCCAAATAGAAAATGGGACAATCTAATTTGTTTATTTCAATGCATTCTTGAAATTTATCACTTTGACCAGGATCTGCAGATAGACTGTTGGCTAAAAGTACTGGCTTATTTCTACTGTCCTCACTCCGTGTGTTTGTATGTATGTGTGCGAGAGAGAGAGAGACAGAGAGAGATAGACAGAGAGAGAGAGAGAGAGATGAGGTAGCTGTCCAACTTTATGCATTGCACCAGGTATTTGATTAAACCTCGGAGCCCATTTACCTACGCATTATTAAAGCACAATGCAATGGACTCAAACTATCATCAGATCTTTGAATTGAACTCTTTTCCTAAAACTCTGGAATCCCAAACAGCAGGGTAGAGTTCCAGAATATCTCAGCACCTTTCCTGTATTTAAGCAACACATGACTAGGAAGTGAAGTGACAACAGAACAAATGAATTTGAACACTGTCTATCCTCAAAGGTAAATTTCTAGGTAATCATATGCAGCATGTCCAAGAAATATGAATCATGGTGACTAAAAAAGAAATTGATTTCAGAATCTGTTTTCCTTGACCTCAATTAAGATTTCAGGTAAAGAATCATTTTATTTGAAAGTGCAAGTAGAAATCAAATGTAAAAAATTACAAAAATAAGAAAAACAGGGGGCCAGCCCCTTGGCATAGGGATTAAGTTTGCATGTTCCACTTCAGCAGCCCAGAGTTCACCGGTTCCCAGGTGCAGATCTACACACACCACTTGTCAAGCCATGCTGTGGTTGGCATCCAGCATATAAAAGAGAGGAAGGTGGGCACAGATGTTAGCTCAGGGCCAATCTTCCTCAGCAAAAAGAGGAGGATTGGAGGCAGATGTTAGCTCAGTGCCTCGGGATATTCACAAAGTAGTGTAACCATCACCACCATCCATTATTTGGATATTTTCATTGCCCCAACATAAATAACTTTTTAGTTCTTTTTGCTCTTGCTTTAAGAATTCTGTATTTCTGAATAAGCATAAGAGGCATTTTGTTCATTTGGCAATGGCTGTGTCAAATCTAAAACGAAGAAAAAAATAAGTCAAACTTCAGCCAGTTGGCATGAAGGGGATAAGAAGAAGTAATCATTTTATTTGTTGTCTTTAGAAATGTAAAGGTTTCTGGAAAGAATCCTCAAATCTTAATTTTCAGTAATGGAAATTCAAGAAAGGAAAATACGCCAAACATCAAATTTTATCATTCAAATTTTTTGAAGCCGTAATAGGCTGTTTGTAAGGCGAATTTCTACCTAAGATCACAAAGGCGTTGGTTAGAGATCCCTTTGAAAGACCGGACTATTCTAAGGAGGAGACAAACTTACTTAGATTGCATCCTAGCCTTTGGCTCTGGCAATGTGTCAGATATATTATGAGATTACACAGCAATAGAATGTTTTTATAGTGCCTATTCATACAGAAAATGTTCTCTGTAGCCCTATGCAAACTGTTAAAGACAGGATAGATGCTGTATTACAGCGTCTAACTAGAAATAAAGGCTTGCGTTCATTTTATATTCACAAGGCTTATATAATTCTTAGTCCTTTGTGTGATTTATTTTAACTTTGCACTGCGTGAGTTGGAAGAAAGCTCAGCAGTCAAGTTACTCGGGGGAATTAGTCCTGACTCTTTGTCACGGTCATTGCTGCACTGGAGTAAGTTCTCTTTCATAATTTTCTCCCAAACATGACTTCAGGTGTTTACCAAATCAACAATAAAAATGGTTTTTAACCATTTAGTCACTTGGATTTATTACAGAATTTTTCTGATTTTCGGGTGTTACCCACCCCCCAAAGGACCACTTTTCAAAACTTTTCGAAAGTAGTTGAAACTTTTTTAAAGTAGAAATTCCTGGGTCAGTCCTGCCTACTGAAACGGAATCTCTGGGCTTAACAGGCTGAGAATCCAGACTTTTAATAAACATCCCAGGCGGTTCCTTATGAAGTTGTCTCACCCCTTTCTGAGAGAGAGAATTTGGGAGGCACTGGAAAACTATAGTACAGCAGGATTTGAGAAGCAACTTGTTCAGAATTCTGGGCTGTGATGTTTTAAGACAGAAAATCGTTAGGATGAAAGTGCCATGAAGGCAGCCACTTTCTCTGCCTTGTTCCCCACTCTTCCTAACACTTACTACCACACTGCACGCACACAAATGTTTGTAAGATGAAAGAATTTTCTTTATGAGCAGATCTCAGATTGAACTTGAAGTCACTTCCGCAAAAAGTAGGCATGTGGACAAAGGAATCCAGAATGAAATGAGTATTTCATATGACTATTTCTACAAAGACCTCTGGTTATTTTAGAGTCAAGAAAATTCTAGACATTTTGGTGGAAAGTACATTCTGATTAGATTTACCTTTCTGGATGTCCACTAAATCAAAAGAAAATGGACAAAGAGACTAAAGAATGCATTAGAAGCCTTTCCTACGCCCTAAATATTTGTTGGAAACAGTTTTTCTAGAACGTTTACTAGAATGATAGAAGGCTGGCCTTCTATCCAGCGCTTTGCCCTGTTTACCGTATTTGAGAGGATGATGTGTCACACCTTACTCACCCAGTAACTGTACCTGTTGACTCACTTCATTCCCTGGAGACACAGCCTCCACTCTGTCTGGAGAAGGAAGAGAAAACAGAAGGACGAGCACAGCTGGTTCCTCAGGCAGCGTGACTGGATTTCTTTCTCAGCTTTTGTGTTCTCGTAGAAATGTTATCTTAATCTCAACTGACAAGAATGTTCTTCAAACAAAACTCCGAAGTAGAAGGCTAGAGGAATGCTTCAGGGAGATCCAAAAACAAAATAGGATCCGCACAGCAATTACATTTAGAAACTGAAACTCGTTACCCACAATTTAGACGGTAGACGGAAAGACAAGTTGTTCCTTTCCATTTGGGAGTGAAGATTATAATAGATCATAATAGTGGCTTTTCACATTAAATAATGTTTTTCCATTTCTGTGAAAATGCCTTGATGTCAAAAAGAAAAGGGAGAAAATAAATCTCTGTAGCAGCAATAATTCACTTATTCTTTCATCCAGCAGGTAATAACACCTACTGTGTGCCTGATTTGGGTCTAAGCAGAGAAAGAGAGAATTTTCATAATGGCTCTAAAGGAGAGGATCTCGGGGCACTCTGAGGCATACCTCCAAAGACCAGGGATGAGGGAAGTCCTCTCAGAGAGATGAATTCTTGTCCGTAGGCAATACGGAGAGTTTAGAAATTGAAATTGGAAACATTTTAAAGCAGTATATAAGATTGTTTTTCTATGTAAATTTAGCTGAGATTATCACTGAAAGCTCTGTGTGTCTTAAGCATGAATAACTCATAGAAGGAGAAAAAGCAGCTCTGTGCTGTCTGTGGGAGGGAGGGATGGGATTGAAATGTTGCTGATAATCCATTCTGCATTAAACATAACTATTGAGGCCAGCCCAGTGGCATAGAGGTTATGTTCTCACACTCCACTTTAGCAACCAGGGGTTCACAGGTTTGGATCCCAGGTGCAGACCTGCACACTGTTCATCAAACCATGCTGTGGTGGCGTCCCACATACAAAATAGAGGAGGATTGGCTCAGGAGTTAGCTCAGGGCCACTCTTCCTCAAGTGGAAAAAAAGAAGAGGAAGATTGGCTACAGATGTTCGCTCAGGGCCAATCTCCCTTACCAAAAAAATAAATAAATAGGGGCCAGCCTGGTGGCACAGTGGTTAAGTTCACACCCTCTGCTTTGGCAGCCTGGAGTTCACCATTTAGGATCCCAGGCACAGACCTACACATCGCTCATCAAGCCCTGCTATGGCAGGCATCCCACATATAAAGTAGAGGAAGATGGGCACAGATGTTAGCTCAGGGCAAATCTTCCTCAGCAAAAAAAAAAAAAAAATGGGAAGGATTGGCAGCTGATATTAGCTCAGGGCTAATCTTCCTAAAATAAATAAATAAATAAAAAATAAATAACTATTGATCTTCACATGGTTCAGACGTGATGCTGATAAAGAAATTAGGAGAGAAGGAGAATTCCCCCAGGAGTACCTGGGGGGAGCAGTCTTGAATCATAAAGCTGTGTTTGTTTTTAATTTTTAATCATCACTTTGGGAAGGAGGATTCATTTTATTCTTTAAGGACACGAGGGGCTTTTTTTTTCCTTCCTTCATTCTTCTTTCTTCTTTCTTCTTCCCTTCCTTCTTTTCCTCTCTCTCTGTCTCTCTCTCTTTTTCTTGTCGTAAACCTCAGACCTCTAAGAAGGACAAACTTGACACACTAGCAGTCGCTCTTTTGTATCCACTCTACAAGTTCCACGACACTGCAGGGGACACAGGAGTCACTCAGGCATTCTCTGATGACAGGGGAGGAATGGAGAGAAGGGCTAACGTGAAGGAAGGTAATTGTGGTTGGCACAGAAGGGAATCTGAGGAATGAGATCAAAGAGCGGAACCAAAATATATTAAGCATGTTTTCAGCACCGACTGTTGACACTGCCTTCTGGCCTTTCTTAAAAGATGCAAGAGTTAAAATAATAAATAACAAATGACTGACAGTAACATTTCTGAGCTCTTTCACGCCCATTCTCTACTCCTCTGTCCTTATGATACTACCAGAACTGGGAGACATTTTAGGCCAAACAGGCTGAGAGGAAAAGAGTAAGCAAGGAGAAGAATTCCAGGTGTGATGGAAAGGGAACATGCCATAGTCTTCAGAGCAATGATCGGGACACACTGCCTTCCCAGTCTGGGGCTTGGGAGGGAGACAGGCGGTAAGGCCGCAGCACATCTGATCATAGAACCCCTGCACTTGAGCAGTAGTTCCCGGCCTGTCAACCAGCATCCTCACGCTTCAGTGTTTATGGATGGGAGGGGTGCTCGTTGAAAACGCAGAGTACTAAATTCCATTGACATGCTTCTGACAGCGTGCTTCTCTTTGAGAGATCCCAGCTAAGAAATGAAGTGCAAGTTCCTTGCAACAGAATGTAGAGTCTGTTGGGAAACTGAAAGAAGCCAAATTGACCATTTAATCATCAGCTTCTCAGGGCAAATCTTGACTGCTCTCAGTGATTAGAGGTAGGTGTTGGCTGAGATCATCTCCCACACTACCTTGCCACTCCACAGCATGTTAATAATGAAAACGAGGTTTACATCAAGTCCTGTCTAACATTTACTAACAAGAAAGCACGAATAGTCATGTAAACTGTGCTTACAAGCTTGGGGTACCAAGGCTGTTAAGACATTCCGAAAGCAGATTGGGTCAAGCAGCAGCATCCTCTCTGAAATGGAGCTGCACAGCCAAACAGAGCTTGTGTGCTCCTCCAAAGACGTTAGCTGCTACTAGACTTGTCACCCCCTGACGCCACGTTCCTAAGTGGGCGTTGGTGCCTGTTCGCTGCCCTTATCCAATCACATAACTCAAGCACAACTCGTTTTACTATTTTTAAAAATCATTTTCGATGTTTCTTATGCGAGTTAAAAATTCTCTCGTGTAGTTTCCGTAAGGATAGTTGAAGGTTTTATGTCACTGTCTCTGAAGTCTGATTACCTGGTTAGGACACTTCAAATGTTGAATATGCTCTTAAAACAATGAACAGAGTAAGCATTCAAATGTTAGCTATTACTGTTCTTGTAATTACCATGGTTGTCATTGTCAGCTGTTACAGCATATGACACGTTCAGCTATTTCTCTACATGTCTAACTTACGAAACTAGTGTTTTTCAAACTAATGTTTTTCAAAATTCAACAATTCCTACATAGCATTTTCTAGTGAAATAGACTAGATGAGAATAGAAAATATTAGAGTGTATCAAGCTTTGGTTCAACCTTAGAAAGGTAGATATACTGAGTTGCAATAGAAAATGTGTTTTCTACTACGAGTCATGGTCCAAAAAGAAAAAGTCATGCTAGATTGTATGCCTCAAAATAAGGGAATAAAGGACACTGTCTTATTTATGTTGTTATCCCCAGTATTATAATGTTTAGACGCTCAGTAAATGTTTGAATGCACGAACTCTTTTTTCTTTCTGCTAAGATGAGTTTCATTGTAAAATGGAACCAAAGATATTTAAAGATTTTGCGGAATCTGAAACAGAGCATATGTAAGCATTTGTAACTAGAGTTTTAGAACCAGAGAGAAGTGTGCTCTGCTGTTCTGGTTTGAAGAGAATTGTGATTATTTCCCTGGAAATCTTTATTGCTCACTTTCTCCTGTATCACAGGGTTCTGCTTCTTTTTTAAAAAGAATTACTTATTTCTGTGAAATATATTCCTGTGCCCTTCATCTCAGTTTTCTATTGTTGCTGTAACAAATTACCACAGATGTGGTGCCTTGAAACAACATCTATTTGTTATCCTCCGGTTGCGTAGAGTAGACGCCTGACATGAGTCTCACTGGGCTGAAATCAAGATGCGCTCAGGGCTGCATTTTTTTAGAGGCTCCAGAGGAGAATCTGTTTCCCAGACATTTCCAGCTTTTAGAGGCATTTCTTGGCTGCTGGCTTTTTTCTGCATCTTCAAACCAATATGGTAGCCATCTGGCCTCTGCTCGGTGGGCACATCTGCTTCTCTGCCTGCCTCTGACTCTCTCGCTTCCCTCTTTAGCCTTGTGACTACATTGGGCCCAGGCAGATAATCCAGGATAACCTCCCCATCTGAAGGTCCTTATCAAGTCATGTCTCAATTCCCTTTTGCCATTTAATATTTACTGATTCCCGGAATAAAATCTGGACATATTTGGAGGTTTATTATTTTACTTACCACACCCATCAATTCCAACATCTAGACTGCCCCAGGAAATTTGCAAAGCATTTTCGGATAATTTCTATTCTACTTGATTTATAGACATCACTATCCAGGTAATTGCCTATAAACCTGTTGTCTGATTTCATATGACTTTGGGGACAAGGGCCAAAAAAGTAACACCTTACCACCTGTGATTTTAGCATCCTTGGTTTTAAGAATTTAAATTTATGTAACAATTTTAATTTTTTTAAGGATCTAACTTATAACATCTGTATTGTTTAGTTAATAATCCTAAAAGAAAGAATTACAAAAACAGAAATACAGTATACAAAATTCTAAGCCAGTGAAAGGTGGGTTAATAATTTCTAAAGATGAGTAATCTGCATAGTACAAAACTTTGGGGAAAGAATATGGCTGTCCAGAACAAGGTCATCGCCGTGCTTCCTGAACAGTCGAGATGAGTGATTTATAAGAGCTGCTACCTGTTGGCAGAATATTCTAACCCTGTCAACTCAGGTTTGTTTTGGAAGCCAATGCCTTCCAATACTTTTATTTTCAGTGACTAGCATTTTAATGTTCTCATCCAGCTTCCTATGTTCTATAAGAATTTGGTCTAGCCAATCAGATTTTTGCTCATCATGGGATTTACCAGCAACACACATCCTTGGCCAGGAATTATGGTCCTTTACTTAAATTTTTTATGGCTCCTTTTAAAATAAAATGTGCCCTGCATAGTAAAATTCAAAATCAAACATCTATTAAAGGAGTAAGTGTTTCTTATTACCTTGAAAATGTTAAATTGCTCTTATAAATTAGTTTCCCATCTTCTTTTCCAGTCTCGTCTTAATTCTCCCTGGTTTTAATAGCAAGGAGCACTTGCTGGTTTCACTTGGTCTATTGCTTTCCCTAAAAATAATTTTAATAGCTTAAGTAGGCTTGTAAATTGCATTCTTCCTAATAGTTTCATTTATAAGTGGTCACACTTCTCTCTCAAGCACAGTTTAATGTTTCTATTGCCGTTTTGGCTTTTAAATTGTGCATCAATTTCAGTTTGAAACTACTACTGTTCATAATCAATAGCAGTTGAGAAATATATAGCACAACCTACCTTAACCAGTAAATGTTTCTTGTAATGTTTACACTAATGGTTCATTGAAAATTTGGTTGAGTCAAAAGAATTATGTTGTAAAGCAAGCAGAATCCTTCTATTAGCATCTGGAAGAAGTCAACTAAGAACTAACTTTGAAGTCACACTCAGGTTTGAATCTACTTTACCCCCTGATTAGCTGTGATCTGAAGTGAGTTATTTGTTCTGTGTGAACCCTAGTTTTCTCACCTGCGTAATCTGGAGAGCAGCTATTTCACAAGAATGCTATGAGAACCAAACGAAAGAATACAGGTAAATCTCTCGCATACAGCCCACACGAAACATCTAATCAACAGTAGCTATTATTACCTTGAATGTTTTACTTTGGCTTTAAAAAAAATTCCAAGTATTCTTAAGAGATTTTTAATTGATATTTGCTATAAACAGTTAACATCCACAAGGAATACACAACATAGCAAATAGGTCAAGATAAGAAAAAAATATTAAACTTGAAAAGTTCAATATTTGACAATTAAATCAGTATAATTCTTTAATTATTAAATTGACAAGATTACTTTATTTTATTTTGTTTCTTTATTTTTTTACCCTATTTTATTTTTTGAGGAAGATTAGCCCTGAGCTAACTGCTGCCAATCCTCCTCTTTTTGCTGAGAAAGACTGGCCCTGAGCTAACATCTGTGCCCATTTTCCTCTACTTTATATGTGGGGTGCCTACCACAGTGTGGCGTACCAAGCAGTGCCATGTCCGCACCTGGGATCCGAACCGGCAAACCCCAGGCCACCAAAGCAGAACGTGCACACTTAACTGCTGCGCCACCAGGCTGGCCCCAGCAAGATTATTTTAAACAGAACCTTTTCATGAATAGACTGCCCTTGTAGATAAGTGTGTGTTTGTTGGGGGGATGGATTTTTCTATAAAGGTGCTGAAACAATTATCTGTATATAAAAGAATAAAACTAGTCCCCTACCTCACACCATATTAAAATATCAACTCCAGATAGACAAAGAGTTAAAAGTGAATGAAAAATGATGACTAACCCAAAATACAATGTAAATGTACATGAATATATACACAAATAAAGATAAATGATTGCATAAATAAATAAATTAGGAAGAAGAGATATATCTTCCTTACAGAAGTATTCCATTTAACACATATAGACACTCCTCCCTCCAGGAGATAGAGCTTAATCACCGCCACTATGCTTCCTTGTGGGTAGGCCAGATGTGGTGACTTGTTTCCAAGGACTAGAGTATTTACAGTGGAGAAATCTGACGGTTGTGCTTAACCAAGTGATTATGGTTAATATCCCCATTGATGTTCTGTAGATATCATGTGCCCCTTGATATTCTTGGGTGAGAAGAGCACTTGAGCTATATGGTATTTTTTCAAAAAGCCCTTAACGCCCCTCTAATCACTAGAAAAACATCCAAAAATTTAGATTCAAGGCCCTTCTACTGCATACCTGGGAGCATTCCTCAGGACTGCCACAGTCAAGGAAAACAAGGAAAGACTGAGAAATTGTCACAGACCAATGGAGACTGGAGAGAAGAGACAAAGAAACACAATCTTTCCCAGGGCTGCATCCTACAACAGAAAGAGAAAAAACTGGCGAATTCCGAATAAAATCTGGAGTTCAATTAATGGTAATGTACTAATGGTTTCTTAGCTTTGACAAATGTGTCATTGTAATATAAGACATTAACCAAGGGTGGGAACGAGGGAGGGATATATAGGGATTCTCTGTTCTGTTGTTGAAACTTCTCAGTAAAGCTAAAATTATTCTACAATAAAAAGCGTATTAAAGAAAGACTACAAGACATAGAAAACACTATCAAAAATATCTTTATATTCTTAGGCTATCGAAGAATTTCCTTTATTTATTTATTTTTTTACTAAGGTGACATTGGTTTATAACATTATATAAATTTCAGGTATCGGTCATTATATTTTGACTTCTGTAGAGACTACATCAGAGGAAAGCAAAAGGCATAGAAAGATTTCTTAACCAAGAAAAAAAAGTACAGGAAAATATTGGTAAATTTGACTACATGAAATTCTAGAATGTTCATCAAAAGAGGCTGCAACATGAGTAAAGATCTAGGTCACAAACTGGGAGAAGATAATTGCAATGAATATATTTCAACAGCAGAGATCTCTTGCAAAGCAAATTTAAAAAGAGAAAACTCTGCAGAAAAAATGAGATAAAGACTTAAAAAGACACTTCAGAGAAAAAGAAATCCCAAAGATGAATAAACATGTAAAGGATGTTCAACAGCATTACTATTCATGGAAAATCCACAGTGGGATATCATTTCATGTTTGCCAGATTGGAAATTTTTAAGACCAAGACTGTCAAGTGCCATCAATGATGTGGAACACCAAAACATTTCTACACAGCAGGTGGGAGTGTAAGGCGATAGTGTCACTCTGGAAACCATTTGGCTACATCTAGAATTGAAGACGTGTCTATCCTATGTATGGCAAAGCAATTGCACTCCTACGTTTATACCCTAGAGAAACTTTTCTATATATATGGACCAAGAAATATGCACCAAAATACTCCCAGAAGCTCTGTTTGTAATAGCAAAAAGAAACTACAAGCAACCCATTTATCTATCACAGCACAGTGCCATCCAACAATGAAAATAAAATGATAGTAACAAGCAACAGCAGGGATGCATTTTAAGAATATCAGTTGGAGGGAAAAGAGAAAACTGCAAAAGAATGCATACAGCATGATGTTGTTACATAAAACTTAAGAATGCAGGGCCAGTCCCAGTGGCCTAGTGGTTAAGTTTAGTAAGCTCTGCTTTGGCAGCCCAGGTTTGGTACCTGGGTACAGACATACACCACTTGTCTTTCAGTAGCCATGTTGTGGTGGCAGCTCACATGCAAAGAGGAGGATTGGCACAGATGTTAGCTCAGGGTGAATCATCCCTCAGCAAAATAAATAAATAAGTAAATAAATAAATAAATGAATAAATAATTTAAGAATGTAGAACTAGGGCCAGCCCCATGGCATAGTGGTTAAGTTTGGCACCCTCTGCTTCATCAGCCCAGGTTTGTGGGTTCGGATCCTGGGTGCAGACCTATGCTACTCATCAGACATGCTGTGGCAGCAACCCACATATAAAGTAGAGGAGGATTGGTACAGATGTTAGCTCAGGGCTAATCTTCCTCAAGCAAAAAAAAAAAAAAAATGAGAGAGAGAAAGACTGGCAGCAGGTGTTAGCTCAGGGCTAATCTTCCTCAACAAGAAAAAAAGAAGAATGCAGAACTAAACAATTTAGTGTTTAGGATTACAAACATATAGGAAAGCCATAAAGAAAAGCATGAGAATGGTAAACATAACTCTTACAGCTATTACCTCTATGGAGGGTTTGGGGGAGGAGCACACAGAGAACTTCAAAATAATACAGTATTCTCCACTTTCAACTGGATGGTGAGTTCATGGGTGTTTGTATTGTTATAATTTATATATTATATGTGGTATAAATTTTACTTTATATCTACTTAATAAAAATAAATGAAAAAGAAAGAAAAGGAGAGATGGAGAAAGGAAGAGACAAGTGAGAGGAGAAGAGAAGGGGAATGTGGGTTATCACTGCCTCTAGTCCCCATACCCAAGAAGCAGGGCCACCTCAACGTACATAGGGATTCCAAGCTTAGAACTGAGTTGTTAGTTTGGTAGTTTTCACTGCCTCTTTTAACTTTTATCCCATATCAAAGCTCCATCTAAATTAGCTGGGATCAAAGTGGAGGTGTGCCTCGTTTTATTGTACTTCAAAGATATTGCTTTTTTTTTTTCACCAGACTCTCCATCAGCAAAAGGATTGCAACTCCCTGAAGGCTCAGATGATGGTTAGCACTTTTTAGCAATAAAGTATTTTTTAATCAAGGTATGTAATTTTTTTTTTACACATAATGCTATTGCACACTTAATAGCCTACAATATAGTGTAAACACAACTTTTATGTGCACTGGGAAACCAAAAAATTAGTGTGACTCGCTTTATTCCAATATTTGCTTTATTGCAGTGGTCTGGAACCAGACCCACCGTATCTTCATATGCCTGTACAGAAGTGAAACTCCATTATTTACTCCCTGTAGGTCAGCCTCTTCGGGTACACAGGTTCCCAGGCCTGGCCCCGTGCCTGCTTTGGCAGAATCACAGTCCTGTCTTCTTCCTCCTCTCATTGTCACAACAGAGATTTTGAACGTCTCTGTTCAGTGCTGTAGCAAACCTTTATCCCCAGAGCCAGGGCTGCCTTTTCCTCCCTCCCTAGGGCATCCTTCCTCCTAGTTTTGTCCAAAACCACAAATGCAGTGGTAATGAAAGACTTTCTAATGCAAATCTGGCTGCTCATTGCCAGAAACACCTCTTATCTCTTCCCCCACCCCACCCCCTCCCCCCTCCCCCCTCCCTTCAGGGCAGTTGTCAGGAATCCTGAGGAAGTACCTGATGGAAATGCAGACCTCTTTTTTTTTTTTTTACACATTGGACTTTTTATTTATATTTCTGTAGGATCTTCAATATCCATATACTTGCTGTCTGATTTTCTCATGTTATGAGATTACACAAAGATGGAAAAGTTGTCAGTGTAAGACAATACCCACTGCTAAACTCATCTCTAATGAATTAGTCCTGTGGGAAAAGGCAGCATCTATCTTCACCAATCATGTCAACATCTTTGATGTCTTCATCAGTCAGACTCCAGCCAATTGTCAGATATAAATGGGGAGAGTCAATAGCGAGATTTTCTGAGGTCAGTCCAAGTGATAGTGGAGAACTCTTGGGATCCAAGCAAAACTTTAGACGATGAAGATCCAGCAGGATTCAATCTTTTGCACAACAAACATTGGGCAGTAGTCAAGTGAAGAAGACAAAAGTCAATAAAGGTGATTAGTGTGTCCCCAAAATGAGAATTTTTATATCAACGTGTAATGTTCCTTCCCTATGGCTCCTCATAACTTTGGACAGCAAAGCATAAAAGCATGGCCATGTTGGGTGTTTCTGAAATGATGCTAACATTCTATACTCTGGGGAACAGACACTTCTTCCCTACACTTTGGCTTCATCACTCGTTGGCTGCACAGTTCTTTCTGTTCACGCTGTCCTTCCTTTGAAAATGATCACATTTCAACCTCTTGCAGACCTCTTTTTTAAGTGAAGGATTCAACAGGAGATTTGAGAATGTCTTGTTTGCTTAGGATGCCAGAAGAAAAATGTTGAGCACGTGTAGAGGTAGGAAGACTAATGGACTAGTCCAGATAGAGAAGATGGTCTGAACCAAGACAGTGGATGTGGCAGAAGTAGAAATAGAAAGGAGGAGACAGCTATGAGAGATTTTCCTGGAGCCTTGTTTATCGTAAATGAAAAGCTGTCTAGAGGGAATGACGTGAAAGTGAGCCATCATCTCCACGGAACAACAGTGGATGGGCAGATTTAAGGCTTCAAGCCCTAAACCTACTGTCTAGAATGAGGCAAGCGGAAACCTGAGTATGTATGCAAGCAACAGATAACTGAGCAAAATTATGAGTGGAGCACCAAGCTCTGCTTTTGCCGGCAGGAAGCAACTGGGAGAACATTACTTGTAACCTAGAAAAATCTTAAGAAGTCAATGACTAATCTTGTTCATGACTTGCTATAGTTACTAGTATTACACATGGACTGAACTAATTTTTAGCATTATACGTGGATTTAACTTGTCTTTTTCACAATTCTCAGCTATTCACATTTATCTTGCTTATTCCAAGGCAAAGAACAGTAAACAATATGTTGGAAAACATGGAGATGGTTCACAAGATTCTTTTGGCTAGACGATTTATTATTTTAATATTTACAAGGGCTTTCTGAGAAGATATGAGAAAACTTTTTAAAAAATGCTTTAAGCATAATATATAAATGACGACAAAAGAGGTGGAGACAGGAAAGAAATCAGCTTAAGTCAACAACTCATACCATAGACAAGTTTTTAAAACAGAAAAAGAATTCTCTGACAATAAGAATAGTTCAGTCACATTGTCTTCCTCAAGGAGACCAAGGTAGCATTAAATAAATCAGAGAAGAAAGAAATCAGGTAAATTAATTTTTTGACTCTAAGTTCGTCATAAAAAAAAAAAGCTGCTCAGTTTCAGGTATATATTCTGTTTTCCCATGTGAGAAACATATTTTTATAACATAATTTTGCACATTTCATAGCCAAAGTAAAGCATGCAAAAAATACACTGCAATATCAACAATAACCCGACAAACAAACTACTTGGGGAAAAAGTATCTATTTTACCAAATATCTATTAAGTAGGATTCAAGATAAACATGGAGGTTTTCCCCCTCTTACTTGTAAATGTTTATGTGTTGTATCCGTTTAGGGTTTGTTCGCACCCGAGAGTTGATTTCCACTCTTAGTGACCTTGTGGTCAGCAGAGCCAAACCCTGCCCGCTATTTTTGGCACCATCCTCGCATCTTCCCATGCTGTATCAGACAATGCTCCCCTGCTGTCCACAGGGTTTCATGGCCAATGTTTTCAGAAGTGAGTGACCAGGTCCTTCTTCCTAGCCTTAGTCTGGAAGCTCTGCTGAAACCCGTCCACCATGAGTGACCCTGCTGGTATTTGAAATACCAGTGGCATAGCTTGCAGCATCCCAGCCACACATAGCTGTCACAGTGTGACAACCGACAGACAGGTGGTGTGGTTCCCTGACCAGAAATGAACCCAAACTGTGGCAATGAGAGTGCCAGATCTTAACCACTAGACACCAGGGCTGGCCTGTTTAGAGCAGAGTAGCTCAAAATAATGTATTTTCTATACACAAGTTATCCATTTAGGCCTGCATATGTCGTGTCTTTATACTGCAATAGATATGATATCCCAGTACACATCTTTTGTTATTTCTCTCATTACATTGTATGATTTCTTTTTTTAGTTTGTTTTATCCCTTAGAATGTTAGTACATTGATGACAGAAACTGCCATTTTTATCTGGATCTCTTTAGTTCTTTGCACAGTGGATGGCACACAGGAGATGCTCAGTAAATGTATAACGAATTGATTTACACACATATATGATGTCTAGTCCCAGAATATTTAATTTCCCTAAAAATTGTTAGCTCTAAATATGAAATTACATAAGTAACACAGACATTCTCATCTTTATAAATGCCTCCTTATAATCTACAATTATATATAAACTCTGTGGTGAAAACTTTGTACCAGCTATGTACTGAAATCTTTGATTTATTCCTCTAAAGTATTACGTAAATTCTGTAAACCAAAGAAA